TCGGTGACTATACATTAGTATATATATTATAGAACAATAGTAATAAACAATTTTTTGTATTGTTTGTTTTTGTAAACAAGTTTTGTAAACAATATATTGATAATTATGTTTGTGTGCTTATTGTGTTGTATACAACGAGTGTATATATGTACATTGCACCTTACTTTGGTCTCACAGGCCACATAAGTTATGTGAAAAAATAAAATTGTGAAAAAACACCACAAACCTTCAAATACAAGTAAACCAAAGTTTACCGGGTGAGCGGCAGTCGCCGCTGTTGCCATACGCGGCTCATTTTCTGCAAACTTCACAGCTCTATATCTCGGTAAGTACCGGTAAGTACTGATGGCAAAAAAATTTTTTTGGACTAAAACACTCAGAAAAATCATCTTAACATTTTCATCAGAAAAAATAAAAATTTTTTTTTCGAATATTTTCGAACATAGAATGACAGTTTCAGAAAGGGGCCTGCGACAGTCAAAGGGTTAATGTAATATACGACATTTAATAATGCACATCAGTGATTGTTATTGCATATTATTATTATTATAGATAGTAGGTTGGTAGACAGCAACCACCCAGGGAAGTACTACCGTCCTGCCAGATGACTGTGAAACTGAAACCTGTAACTGTTTTGCATGATGGTATATTGCTGGTTTCTTTTTCTGTCTCATAAACACGCTAGATAACAGGGATATCTTGCTACTCCTACTTACACTTTGGTCACACTTCACAGACATGCACATGCATATACAGTGGACCCCCGGTTAACGATATTTTTTCACTCCAGAAGTATGTTCAGGTGCCAGTACTGACCGAATTTGTTCCCATAAGAAATATTGTGAAGTAGATTAGTCCATTTCAGACCCCCAAACATACACGTACAAACTCACTCACATAAATACACTTACATAATTGGTCGCATTCGGAGGTAATCGTTATGCGGGGGTCCACTGTATATATATACATACATCTAGGTTTTTCTCCTTTTTCTAAATAGCTCTTGTTCTTCTTTATTTCTTCTATTGTCCATGGGGAAGTAGAAAAGAATCTTTCCTCCGTAAGCCATGCGTGTCGTATGAGGCGACTAAAATGCCGGGAGCAATGGGCTAGTAACCCCTTCTCCTGTAGACATTTACTAAAAAAGAGAAGAAGAAAAACTTTATAAAACTGGGATGCTTGAATGTGCATGGATGTAGTGTGGATGACAAGAAACAGATGATTGCTGATGTTATGAATGAAAAGAAGTTGGATGTCCTGGCCCTAAGCGAAACAAAGCTGAAGGGGGTAGGGGAGTTTCAGTGGGGGGAAATAAATGGGATTAAATCTGGAGTATCTGAGAGAGTTGGAGCAAAGGAAGGGGTAGCAGTAATGTTGAAGGATCAGTTATGGAAGGAGAAAAGAGAATATAAATGTGTAAATTCAAGAATTATGTGGATTAAAGTAAAGGTTGGATGCGAAGTGGCTCATAATAAGTGTGTATGCACCTGGAGAAGAGAGGAATGTAGATGAGAGAGAGAGATTTTGGGAGATGTTGAGTGAATGTATAGGAGCCTTTGAACCAAGTGAGAGAGTGTGGTAGGGGATCTGAATGCTAAAGTAGGAGAAACTTTTAGTGTGTTGTAGGTAAGTTTGGGGTGCCAGGTGTAAATGATAATGGGAGCCCTTTGATTGAACTTTGTATAGAAAGGGGTTTAGTTATAGGTAATGCATATTTTAAGAAAAAGAGGATAAATAAGTATACAAGATATGATGTAGGGCAAAATGACAGTAGTTTGTTGGATTATGTATTGGTAGATAAGACTGTTGAGTATACTTCAGGATGTACATGTTTATAGAGGGGCCACAGATATATCAGATCACTTTCTAGTTGTAGCTACACTGAGAGTAAAAGGTAGATGGGATACAAGGAGAATAGAAGCATCAGGGAAGAGAGAGGTGAAGGTTTATAAACTAAAAGAGGAGGCAGTTAGGGTAAGATATAAACAGCTATTGGAGGATAGATGGGATAATGAGAGCATAGGCAATAAGGTCGAAGAGGTAAAGCACCCTTCTGGCAAGACAGTGATGGAGTGAATGATGGTGAAAGTTTTTCTTTTTCGGGCCACCCTGCCTTGGTGGGAATCGGCCAGTGTGATAATAATAATAAAAATTATTATTATTGTTATTACCGTTATTATCATTATTAACCCTTTCAGGGTCCGTCCCGTAGATCTACGGCTTTACGTTCAGGGTCCAAACCGTAGATCTACGTCATGAGCTCAGCTCACTCTGATAAACTGTGAGTGGTACATTTGGGCCTAGATAAGAGAGAATACATCTGTGGTATGTGTGCACCACATAAAACAGATCCTGCAGCACACTGTGTATAATGAGAGAAAAAAAACTGAAATCATGATTTTTCGATTAAAACAGCGACTTTGCAGTGTTTTTTCGTATGTTTTTTATAGTTGTATTTGCGATTTCTTGGTCTCATTTGATAGAATGAAAGACGTATTACAGAAATAGAGATGATTTTGATTGGTTTTAGCACTGGAAATGGCTTGAAACAGAGCTCAAAGTAGCAGAAATGTTAAATTTTTGCCGATATTCAAGAGTAAACAAACGACCTCACACGTCTAATACACGCCAGCTGGTGGGTCTAATATGCATTCACAAATATGGTGATGATATTTATACAATTATTACAGTATTGCATAACAGTAAATCTTCAATTTTTTGGTGTGAATAAAAATTCATTATGTGAATAAAAAATCAAAATGGAATTTATTTGTAAAGCCTCAAAACGTAACTAATGAACAAAGGAAATGTTACTTTAGTTCCAGGAATACCTGCATTGTTTATTCTGGACCCTATTTTGAAATTGGAATATTTTGAACTTTGTGTTAAATTGGCCAAATTAACAATTTCCGATCACTTTAATTTGTAGTTGAAACAGTTGACTTGGCGATTTCTTGTGCTCAATCGATAGAATAGAAGTAATACTAGTAAAATAGCTAAGAATATGGTTGACTGGAATAATGTAATTGGCCTAAAATGGGAGTCAAAGTCGGCAAAATCGCCGATTCGTAAATATCGCTGACACATCAAAATTCGCAAGTGCATAATTTCATCAATTTTCCATCAAATTTCGTACTTTTTGTTTTATTACCTTCACAAAAAGATTCTCTACCATTTCATAAGAAAAAATAACAAATTTTTTTTTTTTAAATTCTTGGACACTGGGGCACCACTTCAGATTTGGGCCTTGGACCCTGAAGGGGTTAATATGGTGTCCTCAAGACTGATAAGACATTCTTAGTGACTTGTGTATGTGTGCACACTAGCACAGTGTGTAAGTTTATTTATGTACAGGTACACATAAGTATGATCATCAGAGTACATATAAAACATCTAATTATTATTATAATCAAAAAGAAGCGCTAAGCCACAAGGGCTATACAGCATAAAACATCTAAACTGTCCTATCTGAGCGCCTTTACAAAGACAGTGATTATGTATGAGTGATGGTGAAAGTGTTGAATGATGATGAAAGGTTTTTCTTTATTTTGGGGTTTTTCTTTCTATTTGGGTCACCCTGCCTCCGTGGGAAACTGCCAATGTGTTAAAAAAAAAAAATAATGTATACACAGTATTTACATTAAAGTATGTAAATTGTTGCATTTATATCCATTTATGATTTAAGAAAAGGCATATAACGTGAACAGAGGATCCATCTTACAGATGATGCACGTGTATGTAAAAGGAGATAGACTGCTAAAAGCAGTCAAGAGTAGGGGTGTGTGATTATCAGTATTGATGGGTATCAAATAATTTTCATGGTATCTATTTTGGCCTATAATTGAGTATATCGGCATGTGTGGGTATTGGCAAATGTTGATAATATTGGCATTTGTGGGTAGCGGCAGATTTTGATAGAATTAATATCGGCAAAAATTTTGGTGTTGTCCTATCACTAGTTAACCCCTTAAACTGTCCATGACAAACCAGTAAGTCATAGCAATTAGGGATCATGATGTACTTTTTTTTTTTTTTTAACAAGTCGGCCATCTCCCACCGAGGCAGGGTGACCCAAAAAGAAAGAAAATCCCCAAAAAGAAAATACTTTCATCATTCAACACTTTCATCTCGCTCACACATAATCACTGTTTTTGTAGAGGTGCTCAGAACACAACAGCTTAGAAGCATATGCATATAAAGATACACAACATATCCCTCCAAACTGCCAATATCCCGAACCCCTCCTTTAGAGTGCAGGCATTGTACTGTACTTCCCATTTCAAGGACTCAAGTCCAGCTATATAAAAATAACCAGTTTCCCTGAATCCATTCACTAAATATTACCCTGCTCACACTCCAACAGATCGTCAGGTCCCAAATACCATTCGTCTCCATTCGCTCCTATCGAACACTCACGCATGCCTGCTGGAAGTCCAAGCCCCTCTCCCACAAAACCTCCCTTACCCCTTCCTTCCAACCTTTTTGAGGACGGCCCCTACCCCGCCTTCCTTCTCCTACAGATTTAAACACTCTCCATGTCATTCTACTTTGATCCATTCTCTCTAAATGACCAAACCACCTCAACAGCCCCAAATCATAACACAAACAACAAATTATAACTCTCTCAGATTTGCTGTGAGCAGCAAATTTTGGATTTTTGTAATGATGAATAAACAGAAAGATGGATGGGGGACTTAAGCTGTGGTCATGAGATTGACTGGTTCATCACTCTACTGCTATAATGACGCTTTTTCACTGACTTATAAAAAAAACCCATTGGTAGCAATATGTTGCTTTAATAAAAGAATTTCATGGTACTTGCATCTGTGATGTCTGCAACCTTCTAAAAATAGTGAGAGGTGAAAAATGTTTGTTTTTATCTTTGGGTCACCTGCCTTCATGGAAAACTGAATAACAAAAATTTTTGAGATGATTGAACAAAGATGATAAAAGTTATTTATTGGAGCAACATTTATACATATATTGTGTATTTTTTCCAGTTGGGCAGACCCTCAAAGTGGCCAGCAGTTCATATCAATTGGGTTTGACCAAGAAGCTGCTGCAGTACTCATGGCACGTTTAGCAGTTCACCGATCAGAAACTGATCAGGATGGAACTGATGTACTTCGCTGGGTAGATAGGATGCTGATCCGGCTGGTAAGCTTTCTTATGAAGCAAGGTTTTCGAATTGTATTTTGTCATATTTCTTTTTCACAAATATTTGTACTTGACCAAATCAAGTTCCTCGAGCTAAGAATTAAAATGATTTGTGTGTGAGTGTTGCAAGATATTTAATCATTATAACTGCAAGAGAATTGATGACGGAAAAAAGGTGAGTGGTGCTTTAAGATATGTGGAGACAAAAAAGTCATCCATGGAGGCAAAGAAGGGAATGTACGAGAGTATAGTGGTAGCAACACACTTATGGGTGTGAAGCATGGGTTGTAAATGCTGCAGCAAGGAGGAGGCTGGAGGCAGTGGAGATGTTGTGTCTAAGGGCAGTGTGTGGTGTATATATTATGTAGAGAATTCGTAGTGTGGAAATTAGGAGGAGGTGTGGAGTTAATAAAAGTATTAGAGGGCTGAAGAAGGGTTGTTGAGGTGGTTTGGTCATCTAGAGAGAATGAAACAAAGTAGAATGACTTGGAGAGTGTATAAGTCTGTAGTGGAAGGAAGGCTGGGTAGAGGTTGTCCTAGGGAAAGTTGGAGGGAAGGGGTAAAGGAGGTTTTGTGGGCGAGGGGCTTGGACTTCCAGCAAGCATGCATGGGCATGTTAGATAGGAGTAAATAGAGACGAATGTTTTTTGGGGCCTGATGAGCTGTTGGAGTGTGAGCAGGGTAATATTTTGTGAAGGGATTCAGGGAAACCAATTAGCCAGACTTGAGTCCTGGAGATGGGAAGTACAGTGCCTGGAGTTTAAAGGAGGGGTTTGGGATGTTGGCTGTTTGGAGTGACATCTTAACTGTAGTATCTGAGCACCTCTGCAAAGACAGTGATTGTGTGAATGATGATGAAAGTTTTTTTTTTTTTTTTTTTTTTTTCTTTTTGGGTCACCCTGCCTTGGTGGGAAACGGCTGACATGTTAAAAAAAAAAAAACGCAGTGTGACACTACAGTGTATTTTTAATGTAAAAAGTAAATTATTTAAAGTTTCTAGGTAATGAAGTGATTTTTTAACAAAAATGTGATAGTTTAGATTAGATTGATTTCTGCTGTCATAATGCCATTTTTTACAGTATTTACTATTGGTTTTTCAGTGTCAGAAGTTTGGTGAGTTTACCCCTAATGATCCCAATAGCTACAGATTCCAGGAGAATTTCAGTCTGTACCCTCAATTCATGTTCCATCTAAGACGGTCACAGTTCCTGCAAGTCTTCAATAACTCGCCTGATGAAACTTCATTTTACAGGTTAGTCCTCTATATATTCTTATTTTTATTACTCATTACACTTTGCAGTACTGAGTACATAATAGGGCCTTTACTCGTAAATATCGGCACTTATGAACCAGGCATCCTGGAACCAATTAATTTCCTTTGAATGCAACCCTGCAGATACATTACAAACATTCAGACATGTTATTTTTAAGGTCTTTTTTTTTTTGTATTTTTTTCTGTATTTTTTATTTTTTCTCAAGTTCATTCATATTTTGTGTTCATTTCATGTACAGTGGACCCTCTGTTTTCATGATTAATTCGTTCCAGAGAGTCTGACGAAACCCGAAAATCACGAAAACTGAAATAATTTTCCCCATGAGAAATAATGTAAATCCAATTAATCTGTTTCAGACACCCAAAAGTATAAACACAAAAATACATTTTATAGAGAATAACTATATTCCACAGCTTATTTATCTATCACAATTCATCTAATATGATATAATAAACAATATTAATAACATAGAAACATGATATATACTCTAGAATGAATAAAATGTCATTACGTTTGCGAGGAGTAGTGGTGGTGTTGGGTTTATAAAGGCCACTGACAGCATAAGACGTACATGTGGTGGTGGCGGCAGCAGAGGCCACCACCACTGTTCACACTGAAACAATATACGTAATTTATGAATAAGAAATATTTACATTTTCCTTGGAGGAGATGCTGGCATTGGTGTAGGGTGGTGGAAGATACGCAGGCAGCTTATGTTGTCAGTGGCCCTGTATACCTCCAACAACATTACTTAATTGCTTAACTTATTTGCTACACTGTTAATGCTACACTTTATCGCTGGCTGGCGCTATAGCCTTTATTGACTCCTGCTGCTTTAGCATCGTACATATCGTAGAATCACTGAAGAAGGCACATTCTCCCCTCTCTCTCTTCCACCTCCACTTTGGTACAGTGGACCCTCGACTTACGATATTAATCCGTTCCAGAGAGCTCATCATTAGACGAAATTATCATAAGTTGAATTAATTTTCCCCAAAAGAAATAATGGAAATCCAGTTAACCCTTTCAGGGTCGAGAGGCCCTCTCCTAAACTTGTGCTCAGGGTCGAAAATTTTTAGGGGGAAAAAAAAAAAAACATTCTTATGAAATGATACAGAATCTTTTCCCGATCATAATGACACCAAAAGTATGAAATTTGACGGAAAACTTACGGAATTATGCTCTTGCGAAGTTAGCAGTCTCGACAATGTTTACATGTCGGAGATTTCGCCCACTTTGAGCCCTATTTTTGGCCAATTCCAGTGTACTAGTCTACAAAAATCATAACTATTTCACTAGAACTCCATTTTTTCTATCGAATGAGTACAAGAAACCACCCATTTACCGATTTCAACTATCCAGTAAAGTGGTCAGAAATTAGCAATTTTGCCAATTTCACACAAATTTCAAAAGATGCCAATTTCCAAATAGGGTCCAGGATAAACAAGACAGACATTCCTGGCACTAAAATAACATATCCTCTGCTCATTAGTCACATCCCAGGCCCCTCTTATATTTCTTTTGCTTTCCACTTTGAATTTTTATTCTCACAAAAAAATAGAAGATTTACTGTTACGCAGACTACTGCATTAATGTAGAAATGGTATAAATAATATCAGCACACTTGTGAAATATTACTCACCACTTAACGTGTATTGGACGTGTAGCATGATTTGTTTACTTTTGAACTTTGGCAAAAATTGAACATTTCTGCTACTTTGAGCTCAGTTTCAAGGTACTTTTCATTGTGAAACCAATCAAAATCATCTCAATTTCTGTAATATGTCTTTCATTCGATAAAATGAGACCAGGAAAACTAGAACACAAGCATAAATACTATATGAAAATACAGAGCAAAGTCGCTGTTTTAAACCAAAAACACGGTCTAAGCTTTTTTTTTTCTCATTATGCACTGTGTGCTGCAGGATTATTTTTATACTGTGCACACTGACCTCATAGACCCATTCTTTCATATGTAGGCCTACCAGCTTTCTCTCGCTAGATTTGAAGGTGCTAGAATTTATGCATACTAGTACGTCAATAACCCTGGTGCATAAGACGTACTAGTACGTCAGAAACCCTGAAAGGGTTAATCCATTCCAGACACCCAAAAGTATGAAAAAAAAAAATTACCACATGAAATATACATTTTCCTACACAGAAAAAGGATACATGCACAATATACTGTACTAAATGAAGAATAAATGACACTTACCTTTAATGAAGATGTAGTGATGAGTGATGAGACACTGTTTTTCTTGAACACACTGGGATTTTCAGTGATACATGAGTAAAGGCTTCACTTTGCAATCCCCACTAGCATTACAAGGAAACATGAGTTAGCCTGTCTTTCATAGGCTTGTATCCTGGGAGTGCCTTTTCCTCCTGAGTAATGTAGGTCCTGTTTGGCATTTTCTTCCAGAACAGGCCTGTTTTGTCACAATTAAACACTTGTTGGGGTTGGAATTTTTCAGCTTCACCATGCCTTATCACACTGTGTATGCCACTATAATTCTTAAATCTCTCAAACCAACCTTTGCTGGCCTTAAATTCACCAATATGAGCACTAGTTCCAGGCATTTTTTCCTGTTCACTTGGGTGTTAGTCGACTAGTGTGGGTCGCATCCTGGGGGACAAGATTAAGGACCCCACTGGAAATATGTTAGTCCTCGAAGATGCACTGACTTTCTTGGGTTATCCTGGGTGGCTAACCCTCTGGGGTTAATTGTTTCTCGGTAATTGTTTCTCGTTAAGCCACACCAACAACACACACTCCACATCTTCGAGTAGTACAGCTGACAGTGGTGCAGCAACAGCTGATGGTGGTGCAGCAGCAGCTGACCGTGGTGCAGCAACAGCTGATGATGGTGCAGCAGCAGCTGACCCTGGTATGATAGTATTTCTCACCCTTTTTACCACAGGGTTGGCACTAGAAGCTTTCTTTGGGCCTATGGTGGCTTTAGCAGTTACAAGCACTAAAAACAATGGAATAATACAAAATTTGTCAAATGTATGCATGCAACCATCCACCCTGGCTTGTAAAGAATGGCACTAGCTGAGCTGCGGTGCTCTGGCCAGACAGACTGTGTTCGGGATGAATGATGTAGTTTTTCTTCATAGGTTGGGGGAAATTTTTTATGCTGAAACGCTTCGTAAGTCGATTTTATCATAAGATGAGGCCTTCGTAAGTCAAGGGTTCACTGTACTTTGCTATGAGTTTTTTCTTGAATTCTGTCATGTTTCTCATCTTTAACAGGCTGGCACTAGGAGCTTTTTGGCCCATGGTGGCTTATTTAGTAGTCACACACAATAAACAAGCGCAAAAAAACAATGTATTGTTACGAAATACTTCATACGACCTCAATGTTATGTTCACTCGCCAAGAAACAATGCCAGACTGACTCATAATGCATGTGTGGGAGGCTTTGTGTGCACGCAGCCACTCGGACGTGTTCCATATGACCGACGAAAACAGAGGAAAGTAACAAAAACAGAGCCTATATTTTTATGGAAAATGCTGTCAATAACTGAAAATCACGAAAACAGAGCCTAACAAAAACAGAGGGTCCACTGTATATGTTAGGCTCACATTTCTTTGGTTTAAATTAATTTAGTTTTCTTTATTAATGTTCATTTTTATACGTGTGTTGAGTTCAGTTAATAAAAAAAACTAGGTTTAATAATTGTTGGTATGTTAAACCCCCTTTGTGGTGACTGAGTTGCCCATACGTGATCAGAGTTAATGTAAAGCAGTTCAGTTTACTTACATCACAAATCTCAGCCATACTACAGCCAGGGCTTACAGTGAACTCTGATATTTACTGGCCAGGTTTGCCAAAGATGAAAGAACTATCATATTTTCTTTCCACCATTCAGTGGATTTCCTTAAGACAGTAATTTCATTGTCTTGCTGTTTTTATATTTGTGGTAACATGATTTGTTACTGCTTCATTATAATAATGGTATACAATATTAACATGTAGAAGAGTAAGGTACATTCTTGTTGACAGCATTATACAGTACTGTATATGTCTTGCCTATCATTCCCTCATACCTTGCAGTTTCTTCTGACTTGTTGGTAGAAATAAAAGCGAAGTACACCTACCATCCGACTTACGACCAAGCTTGGTTCCGACCAACCGGTCGTAAGTCGAACCTTTGAAAATTGCCGACATACTGGGTAGGGCATAATGTCAAACTTTTCCTATATAAACTACCTACATAGTACTGTAATGTAATGTACAATCATTATTTAATTTTTTTTACCATAATTTACTTCTATTGTTATATTTTAATTATTTATTTACTGTATATAATGTATACATGGTAGTGAACTGTATTGTAAATGTTACATCGCATACAGTATCATATGTTACTGTTATCTTTATGTATTGTCGACACAGTGGAATGGGAGAATACCACTGGTAGTGTCATCCTGCCAGAATGTAGTATAACCTATACCCTAAGTAAAGAGAAACGACTCTGGAACATGGCTGGCTGGCCGGGTGGGTGGGTGGGTGGGTGATCTCTCTGTCTCTCTCTGTCTGTCTCTGTCTGTCTCTCTCTGTCTGTCTCTCTCTGTCTCTCTCTGTCTCTCTCTGTCTCTCTGTCTCTCTCTCTGTCTCTCTCTCTCTGTCTCTCTCTCTCTGTCTCTCTCTCTCTGTCTCTCTCTGTCTCTCTCTCTGTCTCTCACACACACACGTACACGTAAGTAAAGTTATCATACATAGTATAAATTACCTAGGATAACCCAAATAATACAGGCAAAGTGCTATACAGTGGATCTGTGCTCCAGTGCCCTAAATTAATAATATTATTATTATTACAATAATACATATGTAGTACTAATATTAATAATATTATTATTAAACTATAATATAATAATCGTGTCCACTCATTACTTACCTTAAAATATCTGTAGTCTTAATGTAGAGTGAGAGGTGAGTAAACAAGATTAAATGAATAAACGAATGAGTGTGTAGAAGGTTGGCGAGTTATGTAAACAAACGTTGTTGTTACCAGCCCGGACACGAATGATTCCTATTCACTCTGTCAAGCCGACCAGAAAAACATCTCGTATTTGTTAATTTATATGTTATGTAGCATGTTTATTATATAATTTTGAAAAAGAAATCATAGATGGATTAAGCAAAATATCTATATCAACGTTTTATACACATTTAATGCACCTCAGTCATTATTATTGTTATTATCATTATTAATATGGCATCTTCAAGACCAATTACACTCTTGAGTGGCTCTGAGACAGACAAGCAGACAGACACAGACACAGGTAGACACACTCAGGTAGACACACACAGGTAGACACACACACAAACACACACAGGTAGACAGAAAGACACACACAGGTAGACATACACAGGTAGACAGAGAGAGAGACACAGGTAGGCACAGATACACAGATATATATACAGACAGATACAGACAGGTTTATATACAACAGTGAAAACAAATAGTTTTCAAGAGTAAGAGCCTTTCTTGCCACAGACTTCATCTTAGGGGCCATGGGTGAAATTTACTGTCCAGTTAGTACAGTTAATACAGTATGATGCTGATAGGGCAGGGTTACTCAAACTGTTGCTACCTGCATGACGCATTGCCGCCACGAGTATTGTCAAATATTGTACAGTGGTGTGCATCAGCCGGCCCAGCCCAGCTGCCAGATGCACGGTCGTAAGTCGAGTGGACGTATGTCGAGCAGGTCGTAAGTTGGATGGTAGGTGTATTTATTTGTAATTTTTATTATTTCCAAGGATTTACAAAATGGATAACCTTTTTTTTTCTCCAAAAAGTCCCCAAAAAGAAAATACTTTAATCATCATTCAACATTTTCACCTCGCTCACACATAATCACTGTTTTTGCAGAGGTGCCCAGGATACAACAGTTAGAAGTATATACGTATAGAAATACACAATATATCCCTCCAAACTGCCAATATCCCAAACCCCTCCTTTAGAGTGCAGGCATTGTACTTCCCATTTCCAGGACTCGAGTCCGGTTATATAAAATAACCGGTTTCCCTGAATCCCTTCACTAAATATTACCCTGCTCACCCTCCAACAGCTCGTCAGGTCCCAAATACCATTTGTCTCCATTCACTCCTATCTAACACGCTCACGCACGCTTGCTGGAAGTCCAAACCCCTCGCCCACAACACCTCCTTTACCCCCTCCCTCCAACCTTTTCAAGGACGACCCCTACCCCGCCTTCCTTCCCCTGCAAATTTATACGCTCTCCATGTCATTCTACTTTGATCCATTCTCTCTAAATGACCAAACCACCTCAACAAATAACCTTATCTATAGTAAATACATCTCACAATACAGTAGAGATTAATAGTCCCTGAGCTGGAGCACAGGGGTCAAATAGCCTGATAATTATCATTAGGAAATTCAAAAGTAGTACATTCAATACACTGTCATTTTTTGAACTTGAAATTAAACTTTTCACAGATGTATGCTGAATCGTGAAAGTGTCACAGAGTGCCTCACTATGATTCAGCCAGTGTTATATAGTTACTCATTCAATGGGATTGAAGCTGTTATGTTGGACACGTCATCCATTCAGCCTGATCGCATTTTACTGTTGGACACGTTTTTCCTCGTGCTTATTTTCTTGGGAGAGGTGAGTAGCTTTAATTGTCGCTTCTTGATTTTGATGTGAGGTAAATTAGAAAGGAATATAAACTGTGTACATACTGTACAGAATTTGATTTGTATTGTTTATTATTATTGTAGACTTTTCTGAACATTAAAAATATGCTTATTTTGCATTTGATTACACAATGTAATTTCAGACAATGGCAGCGTGGAAGCGGGAGGGTTACCACGAACAAGAAGAATATTTATCTTTCAAAGAACTATTGCAGTCTCCAATTGATGATGCTCAGGATATTCTAGCTACCAGATTTCCCATCCCAAGATACGTAGAAACTGAGCAAGGTGGCTCGCAGGTAATTTCATCTAATGTGGATATTTTACAACAAGATCGTGTTTATCTTTTATATCTATTAATAAGAAAATATTTAAGTGTTCCTCTAATGCTTTCATAAATTTTAATTCACAGATGCACATTTGTCTGCTGTCTCCTTACAACACCTCAAGCCCCTTATTCTTTATACTGTGCGTGTGTGTGTGTGTGTGTGTGTGTGTGCATATATGTGCATGTGTGTGTGTGCGCGTGCATATATGTGTGTGTATGTGCATGTGTGTGCGCGTGTGCATGTGTGTGTGCGCATGTGTGCGCGCACACGCATGTGCATCAGACATTTACTGTATTATGACTTCCTTCTCATATCTACTGTTGAAGCTGTGAATTGAGTTTGCCTCCTCTGCTGCCAATTCTTTTTCAACATTTCTACCACCTTGAGAGGAAAGAAGTATAGTATTGTACATTTTAATATTCCTGTGGCTCATCTGTGTACTTAGTTTAGACACGTGTTTTTTCTCTTGCCGCATCAGGTACTGTATCGGTCTACCTTGTTTAATTTTCTTGGGAAAATTCAAAATTAACACCATAGTGATATTTAAGCAAATAACCCAGGCAGAGGTTTGTGGCTACAGGAGGGTAGGTGGGTGCAGGAGGAAAGAGGAGCGATTGGTAGAATGAGGAGGTAAAGGGTGTGAGAAGAGAAAGAGGTTGCTTATGAGAAGTTTTCACACAGCAGAAGTGATACAAGAAGGGTGGAGTATATAGAGAGTAAACAAAAAGTGAAAGTGGTAAGGAAGTGCATAAGGAGAAGCAAATGATAGGAGTAGGCAAGATGCTGTCAACAAATTTTGTTGAGAATAAGAAGAAAATTTTGGAGTGAGATTAATAGGTTAAGAAAGCCTAGGGAATGAATGGATTTGACAGTTAATAACGGAGTATGGGAGTTAGTAGATGGGGAGTTGGAGGTATTGGGAAGATGGCAGGAATACTTTGAGGGAACTGTTAAATGTTGATGGAGAGGGAGGCAGTAATTACATTCATTTGCCAAGGCAGTATAACATCTTTTAGGAGTGAAGAGCTGGTTGTGAGTGTGGGGGAGGTGCACGAGGCATTAGGAGGTAAAGCAGCTGGAACTAATGGAATAATAACAAATGTTAAAAGCAGGGAATGTACAGTGGACCCTCGCCTAATGATATTAATCCGTTCCTGAGAGCTCATCGTTAGCCAAATTAATTTTCCCTATAAGAAATAATGGAAATCCAATTAATCCGTTCCAGACAGCCAAAAGTATTAAAAAAAAAAAAAAAATTCATGAAATATACATTTCCCTACAAAGAAAACAATAAGACATGCACAATAACTACATAAAAGTTAAAATGACACTTACCTTCATTGAAGAGTATTGATGAGTGATGAGACACTGTTTTTCTTGAACTCACTGGGATTTTCAGAGTGATACATGAGTAAAGGCTTCACTTTGCAATCCCCACTAGCATTACAACAAAACATGAGAGCTAGCCTGTCTTTCACAGGCATGTGTCCTAGGAGTGCCTTTTCCTCCTGAGTAATGTAGGTCCTGTTTGGCATTTTCTTCCAGAACAGACCTGTTTTGTCACAATTAAACAATTGTTGGGGTTGGAATTTTTCAGCTTCACCATGCCTTATTGCACTGTGTATCCCATTACAATTCTTAAATCTCTCAAAGCAACCTTTGCTGGCCTTAAATTCACCAATATGAGCACTAGTTCCAGGCATTTTTTCCTGTTCACCTGGGTGTTAGTTGACTGTTGTGGGTCGCATCCTGGGGGACAAGATTAATATATGTTAGTGTAAACTAGCTCTCTGGCATTTATATGCATTTATAAGTGGAAAAAAATGGCGTTCTGCTTTCCGGCGATGTCTGTTTTCCGGCAGTAGCCTGGAACCTAACCTGCCGTATAAGTGGGGCATATTGACAGTTTGGAGGGATATGTTGTGTATCTTTATATGTATATGCTTCTAAACTGTTGTATTTTGAGCACATCTGCAAAAACAGTGATTATGTGTGAGTGAGGTGAAAGTGTTGAATGATGATGAAAGTATTTTCTTTTTGGGGATTTTTTCTTTTTGGGTCACCCTGCCTCGGTGGGAGAAGGCCGACTTGTTAAAAAAAAAAAAAAAAAATTCTTTTAATGTAGGCACTGAACAATTTTAATTTTGGGGTTCTGACAGTGAAGGGGTTAATGGAAATGGGCTCCACAAATGGAAATGAATTCATCTATGTTATGCCTTATTGTAAATGGTGCACTTTTTGGGGGGAGGTTTACACCTAAGTTTAAATTACATAATATTGGAAATATGAGCTATGATCATGCAACTTAAGGTTTTCTACTGTATTTTCTTTTTTCTTCAATCAGTTGCATTTATTTTTATTGTATATCCATTTGGTGCCTATCTGGTATGCTCATAATTTTTTCATAAAAATAAGATGTGTAATTTTTTCCCATTTTTGTATTGTATCGATGTTGGGAAAGGTGTGGGATTTAAATATACAGAATCTAATACAAAGTGGGAGTTGTCACAGTTGCTTTTTGTCAGTGACATTGTTTTTGGGAGATTCTGAAGAGAAATTGCAGAGGTTGGTGGACAAATTTGGGAGGGTGTGTAGAAAATGGAAATTAAAAGTAATCTAAGAAAAGAGAAGGTGTTAAGTGTATCAAATAATTTTAGTAATGAAAGACTGGATATAAGATTGGATGGAGGTAGTATGAAGTGAATGTGTTCAGATATTTGGGAGTGGACTTGTCAGTGGATGAACCTCAGTAAAACATAAATGTGTTCCTGGTGTTCTCTACTCTTTTTCACATAGTTCATTTAAACTGTATAGGGCTACTTGTGATACATTGTAAAACATTTTCTAGCTTACATACAAGGAGTGAATGAAGATGAATGGTTTTTGGTACTTGATGAGCTGTTGGAATTTGAGCAGGGTAATATCTTGTGAAATAACAATAATTTTATTTCAGCATGATAAATGTTTGTACAAAGGAGTATAACAATTGGGTGTACATGCTAAAAGCCCCTTTATATGCAGAGCATTTCAGGCAAACTTAAGACTAACTTAAGATTAATAAGGCAATAACAGTGCAGTAATTTTGTACATACGGTCATTAGGTGAGTTAGAATGAATACAAGAGAATTAAATATTACATTAGTTCATGCTATATGGCTTTAATAAGTTTGGTAGAGAAGAACTGCAGTTTTGATTATTAACCTAAGGTGGACACAATGAAATGATTAACATTTGAGAGGATTACAGATATTGAGAGTAAGTATTTATTGATTATAATGTTTTACCTTTGTTCATGATATTGAGCAAATGCATGTATAGTTTTTACATATGTATTTATGATGGGCTGGGATAGGTTAAGGAGATAAGGTGTTTTCTAACTATGTATTTATGATGGGCTGGGATAGGTTAAGGAAATAAGGTGTTTTCTAACTATAGTTTTAAAAATGCTAGCTGAGCTAGTGGTTCTGGAGATTTCTGGCAGTGTTCCAGATTTTTGGCCATTTTATGTACATTGAGTTTTTGAAAAGATTTAGCCTGACATGGGGAATGTCTAGAGATTTCTGTGCCTAGTATTGAGTGTATGGATTCAGGGAAGCCAGTTAGCCATAGTCCTGGAGGTGGGAAGTACACTGCCTGCACCTTAGAGGAGTACGGGATGTTTGCTGTGTGGAGTGACATCTGACATGTTGTATCTGAGCAGCTCTGCAAAGACAGTGATTATTTGTGAATGATGGTGAAAGTGTTTCTTTTTTTTTTTGGGTCACCCTGCCTTGATGGGAGACGACCAGCATGTTAGAAAAAATGTAAGCGAGAGCATAAGTTTTTATTTTAACAAGTCGGCCGTCTCCCACCGAAGCAGGGTGATACAAAAAGAAAGAAAATCCGCAAAAAGAAAATACTTTCATCATCATTCAACACTTTCACCTCACTCACACATAATCACTGTTTTAGCAGAGGTGCTCAGAATACAACAGTTTAGAAGTATATACATATAAAGATACACAACATATCCCTCCAAACTGCTAATATCCCAAAACCCCTCCTTTAGAGTGCGGGCATTGTACTTCCCATTTCCAGGACTCAAGTCCGGCTATATGAAAATAACCGGTTTCCCTGAATCCCTTCACTAAATATTACCCTGCTCACACTCCAACAGATCATCAGGTCCCAAATACCATTTGTCTCCATTCACTCCTATCGAACATGCTCGTGCACGCCTGCTGGAAGTCCAAGCCCCTCGCCCACAAAACCTCCCTTACCCCTTCCTTCCAACATTTTTGAGGACGACCCCTACCCCGCCTTCCTTCTCCTACAGATTTAAATGCTCTCCATGTCATTCTACTTTGATCCATTCTCTCTAACTGACCAAACCACCTCAACAACCCCTCTTCAGCCCTCTGACTAATACTTTTATTAACTCCACACCTTCTCCTAATTTCCACACTCCGAATTTTCTGCATAATATTTACACCACACATTGCCCTTAGACAGGACACCTCCACTGCCTCCAACTGCCTCCTTGCTGCTGCATTCACAACCCAGGCTTCACACCCATATAAGAGTGTTGGTACTACTATACTTTCATACATTCCCTTCTTTGTCTCCATAGATAACGTTTTTTGACTCCACATATACCTCAAATCACCACTCGCCTTTTTTCCCTCGTCAATTCTATGATTAACCTCCTCCTTCATAAATCCATCCGCCAACACGTCAACTCCCAAGTATCTGAAAACATTCACTTCTTCCATACTCCTCCCCAATTTGATATCCAATTTTTCTTTATCTAAATCATTTGATACCCTCATCACCTTACTCTTTTCTATGTTCACTTTCAACTTTCTACCTTTACACACACTCCCAAACTCATCCACTAACCTTTGCAATTTTTCTTTAGAATCTCCCATAAGCACAGTATCATCAGCAAAAAGTAACTGTGTCAATTCCCATTTTGTATTTGATTCCCCATAATTTAATCCCACCCCTCTCCCGAACACCCTAGCATTTACTTCTTTTACAACGCCATCTATAAATTTATTAAACAACCATGGCGACATCACACATCCCTGTCTAAGACCTACTTTTACTGGGAAGTAGTCTCCCTCTCTTCTACACACCCTAACCTGAGCCTCACTATCCTCATAAAAACTCTTTACAGCATTTAGTAACTTACCACCTATTCCATATACTTGCAACATCTGCCACATTGCTCCCCTATCCACTCTATCATATGACTTTTCTAAATCCATAAATGCAATAAAAAACTTCCCTACCTTTATCCATATACTGTTCACATATATGCTTCAATGTAAAAACTTGATCTACACATCCCCTACCCACTCTGAAACCTCCTTGCTCATCCGCAATCCTACATTCTGTCTTACCTCTAATTCTTTCAATAATAACCCTACCATACACTTTTCCTGGTATACTCAGTAAACTTATTCGTCTATAATTTTTACAATCTCTTTTGTCCCCCTTCCCTTTATATAAAGGGACTATACATGCTCTCTGCCAGTCCCTAGGTACCTTCCCCTCTTTCATACATTTATTAAACAAAAGTACAGTACCAACCACTCCAACACTGTATCCCCCCCCCTGCTTTTAACATTTCTGTCATGATCACATCAGTTCCAGCTGCTTTACCCCCTTTCAGGGGGGTAAAGGTATAACATCTTTTAGGAGTGAAGAACAGCAAGATGTGAGTGCTGGGGAGATGCATGAGGCATTATGTGGAATGAAACGGGGTAAAGCAGCTGGAGCTGACAGGATCATGACAGAAATGTTAAAAGCAGGAGGGGATATAGTGTTGGAGTGGTTGGTATTTTTAAATAAATGTATGAAAGAGGGGATGTGTAGATCAAGTGTTTACATTGAAGAATATATGTGAACAGTATTTAGATAAAGTTTTCATTGCATTTATGGATTTAGAAAAGGCATTTAATAGTGGATAGGGGAGCAATGTGGAAGATGTTGCAAGTATATGGAATAGGTAGTAAGTTAATAAATGCTGTAAAGAGTTTTTATGAGGATAGTGAGGCTCAGGTTAGGGTGTGCAGGAGAGAGGGAGATTACTTCCCGGTAAAAGTAGGTCTTAGACAGGGATGTATAATGTCACCATGGTTTAATATATTTATAGATGGCATTGTAAAAGAAGTAAATGCTAGGGTGTTGGGGAAAGGGGTGGGATAAAATTTTGGGGAATCAAATACAAAATGGGAGCTGACACAGATACATTTTGCTGATGATACTGTGCTTATGGGAGATTCTAAAGAAAGGTTGCGAAGGTTAGTGGACGAGTTTGGGAGTGTGTGTAAACGTAGAAAGTTGAAAGTGAGCATAGATCAGAAGGTGATGAGGGTATTAATTGATTTAGATAAAGAAAAATTGGATATCACATTGGAGAGAGGGAATATGGAAGAAGTGAATGTTTTCAGATATTTGGGAGTTGACTTGTCAGTGGATGGGTTTATGAAGGATGAGGTTAAACTTAGAATTGATAAAGAAAAAAAGGCGAGTGGTGCATTGAGGTATCTGTGGAGACAAAAAACTTTATCCACAGAGGCAAAGAAGGGAATGTATGAAAGTTTAGTGGTACCAACAATCTTATATGTGTGAAGCTTGGGTTGCAAATGCTGCAGTGAGGAGGCGGCTGGAGGCAGTGGAGGTGTCCTGTCTAAAGGCAATGTGTGGTGTAAATATGCAGAAAATTCGGAGTGTGGAATTTAGGAGGAGGTATGGAGTTACTAAAAGTATTAGTCAGAGGGGTTGTTGAGGTGGTTTGGTCATTTAGAGAGAATTTATCAAAGCAGAATGACTTGAAGAGCGTATAAATATGTAAGGGAAGGAAGGCAGGGTAGGGGTCGTCCTAGAAAAGCAAGCATGTGTGAGAATGTTAGATATTAATGAATGGAGACAAATGATTTTTTAGGACCTGATGAGCTGTTGGAGTGTGAGCAGGGTAATATTTAGTGAAGGGATTCAGTGAAACCAGCTATTTTTATTTAGTCGGACTTGAGTATTGTAGATGGGAAGAACGATGCTTGCACTTTGAAGGAGGGGTTTGGGATATTGGCAGTTTGGAGGGGTATGTTATATATCTTTATGTATGCTTCTAAACTGTTGTATCTGGGTGCTTCTGCAAAGACAGTGATTGTGTGAGTGAGGTGAAGGAGTTGAATGATGATGAAAGTAATTTCTTTTTGGGGATTTTTTTCTTTTTGGGTCACCCTGCCTCCATGGGAGACGGCTGATTTGTTGAAAAAGAAAAAGAAATTTAATACTGATGAACCTTACAACTTTCCCTTCACATGTTTCACAAACTTGCATAATTGTATTCTCAGAAGTGTTATAAATTTCAATATTGTTGCTCCAGTTAAATTTTTTTACTTTAGTTATACATGTATGTTTAATACTTGAAGACCTTTTGCAGTACTCTGCTAATAAGTAAATAATTATAATTAACATTATACATTTTCTTGTTCAGGCACGATTTTTGCTGTCAAAAGTGAATCCCTCCCAAACTCACAACAATGCAGTGTATGGTGGGGTAAGTAACATCTCGTGTAGATGGATAGGTTGTTTATTTGCTACAGTCTTAGTATGTATATGAACTCTAAACTTATTCTTTTTAATATTAGAATTGTTTGATACTTGGTACTGTAATCACTATTGTTAGTTGGTAGACTTTGCATAAACATTCAGTAATTAATAAAAGTATTTTTTATATTGTTTTGAGCTTCAGTTTTCTTATAGCTGGGTTTTTAAAACATTTTATGAAACATTAATTTGAAGTTCCCAATTTTGGCTTTTCAGTCAACCATCCCAGACCCCAATTCAACGGTATTTATTTATTTTCTTATTGTTGCCACTTCTTGGTGAAGGCTTTAGTACTGTGCTGTAGTTTTCACATAGCATTTAATCTTTGTTAATTTTCCTTAGATTCGGTGATGGTTTCCTGCATTAAATTTATTTTGTTAGAGCTAGTAAACACTTTTTAATAAGGAAAAAACAGCTGATTTGCACATAAACTGGTTAGAATTTCCTTCCATTAGATTTTATTGATTTTTATGTGCAATATGGATACAGAATTGAGCTCTTAAATTTTTTCTTGACACTGTTGCTTAGAAAAAGAATAGCCATTTCTTGTGAAACATTTTACTAATATTTAAATTGATGTTAGCTTGACAGTTATCATATATGCCATTTTTATAAAATTGTTTTAGTGTTAAAGCATTAAAATCTTAATTATTCTGTGTTATCTGTTCCTGTATGCTGCCTTAATTGTGACATATATTTGTAACATTGCTGAGGCTTTTCTTTCCCATAGTGATAGACTGATGTAAGGGCAGATACAGTATGTGTTTTAAGAGGTTGATTTAGGGTCTTCTTCATTGATAATGTGTTGTATGAATATTATACAAAAAAAAAGAAAAATTATATAGCAGTGGTGGTATAAAAGATAGCAGTTGAGATAGTTTGGTCATGCAGAATTAAGAAAGATATATTGAGGATGTATAAACCTGGGGTGGATAGAAGGTGATGTTAGAGGGTATTTGAAAAAGGAATGGAAAAGGGGTTGAAAAAGTTTCTTAAAGTCAACTGGTGTGTGCTACCCTAGTTGTCACTGTAAGGATACCAGTACAGTGAACCCCCGACGTAAGATGTCCTCAACCTATGTTAAAACCAACTTACAATGCTTGTCAGCGTAAAAATTTGACCCAGACCTATGTTGAAAAACTCGACTTACATCATTCGTCTCGAACGCGGCCGTCTGGTCCGTCTGGCCTGAGCGCCTCAGCTGAGCTAGTGTGACATTGTTTACAAGCCGGAGAGGATGGTTGCACACATACATTCAATAAATTTTGCATTATTCCAGTGTTTTTAGTGCTTGTAACTGCTAAATAAGCCACCATAGGCCCAAAGAAAGTCTCTAGTGCCAGCCCTGTGGCAAAAAGGGTGAGAAAAACTATCGTACCACGGTCAGCTGCTGCATTGCGTTGTTACGTAGTGTGAGATGGACACAACAAACATCAGAGTAATCTGTGCCTTGTGTTGTGGTCATGTGTTCTGTTGAGTATGGTAAGGAGAAGTTTGAGGGGAGGGTTTATATCCGAGTTAAGTGTTCTGTGTATGTAGTAGGTACAATAATAAGTTTGGATGTTTTGTACAGTGAGTAAATTTAGAGTTTTGAATATTGGTGGAATTTATCATTCTGACTGCAGCTTTTTGTTGGGTAATTAATGGTCTGAGATTTTTTATTGTTGTTGAGCCCCATGCACAGATTCCATAGGTGAGATAGGGGTAAAGGAGTGAGTGATATAGGGCCAAGAGGGCTGACTGTGGAACATAGTACCGTATCTTCGATAGTATGCCTATGGTCTTGGAGATTTTCTTGGAAATGTGTTCGAAATTTGAGTCTGTTATCAAGGTGGATTTCCAAGAATTTTCCCTCTGTGAGCTTTGTGATAGGTGATCTGTTATCATTATGTTAAGAGGGACATCTGTGGTTCTGTTTCCAAACTGTACAAAGTAGGTTTTGTCAATATTGAGAGTAAGTTTGTTAATCATCATTCAGGTAGATATTTTCTGTAATTCGGTATTTGCAGTATTGGCTAGCATGACTGGGTTTGGGTGAGAGAAGACGTATGTAGTGTCATCTGAAAATAGTGTGGGTTTGAGTAGTTGCGATGCATTTGGTAGGTCATTTATGTATATGAGAAAGAGAAGAGGGCCAAGGACACTTCTCTGTGGGACACCAACTGTAATTGGCTGTGTGGAAGAGTTTGTTTCATTTGTGTACACATATTGGCTTCTCTTGCTAAGGTACAACTTTAGGTAGTTGAGGGAGTGCCCTCTTATACCATAGTGAGACAATTTTATGTGCAGCAAATCATGGTCAACTGTATAAAAAGCTTTATGTAAATCAATGAAGATCCCCAGTGGGACTTCTTTTTTCTGGAGTGCAGTGTATATTTGTTCTAGCATGTGTATAATAGCATCATTCGTCCTTTTATTAGGCCTGAACCCAAACTGACAGGGGTTGAGTATGATGGGGGAGATAAGGTAGGAATAGATTCACTTATGTATTAATTTTTCAAAGATTTTAGAGAGAGGGTGTAAGTTGGATATTGGCTTATAGTTATTCGTCTGTTTGATCTCCTTTATGTATCGAGGTGACCCTCGCTATTTTGAGAACTATGGGGAAGGTAGAGGATTCGATGGATTTATTAAAAAAGTGTTGCAATGATTGGTAACAGCACTTGCGAAGCTTTTTTGTATATAAAGTCTTGTTTTTTAGTGTGTTGATAATAAAGGAGACTTCTTTTGGGCTAGTTGGAGCTAGGAACAGTGTGTTCAGGTAGTTGCCAGTGAGGTAGTCATTGGGTGGGGTATTTGAGCTTGGGATTTTATCGGCAAGGTTTTTGTCCTATGGTGGAGAAGAAAACATTGAGTCTGTTTGCTGTTTCAGTTGGTGGGAGTTGGGGTTCATCTGGTTTTGTTAGTTGGATTGCTCTGTTTCCTGATACCTTTTTTGTTCCTAGAATTTCAGATAGGATTTTCCAGGTCCTTTTTATATCACTTTTTAAGTTGGATAATCGGTTCTCATAATACAATTTTTTTGCCCTTCGTATCAGGTTGGTTAGGATTGATGAGTAACGTTTTGTTTGGTCTCTGGTTACGTGACCCATTCTATACTACTTTTCGTATAGGTGCTTTACATTTATGGATTTGAGGATGCTAGGTGTTAGCTGTGATCTGTTTGGTTTTTGTTTAGGGCAGTGCTTGTTATAGAAGTATTGGGTCTCTTTTAGAAAATTATTAATACATTCGTCAGTATCTGTATAGGTTTCTAGCTCAGTTAGCCAGTCGATGTTTGTTACTGCTGTTGTGAAGTTATTAATGGCTGCTTCATTATGAAGTCTGAAGGTTACTTTAGTAGTATTTACCTGGAGAGAGAGTTCTGGGGGTCAATGCCCCTGCAGCCCGGTCTGTGACCAGGCCTCCTGGGGTAATTTACCTAGATTGATTATGAGAACGGTAGGGTAGTGGTCTGTGGTATTATCTGTGATTATGCCTGATTTTAAAGGAGATATGGTGTTGGTCCAGATGTGGTCTAATAGGGAGACACTAGTCTCTGTAATTCTTGTAGGTTTTGTTACTGTTGGTAGCAACAAGCAGTTACTCAGTGTTTGTGAATTCAGTAATGTGTGGGTCCTGGTCTTGCAGGAGATTTATATTAAAGTCACCTGAGAGTAGTAAGTGATCTTTATTCATGCGTTTTCACTAAAATGGCTAATGTTTGACTGTGGTACTCTGTAGATGTTTATCACTGTGAGAGGTTTTTGTAGGTATTTGGATTTGAATTTAGCTATTATATATTCCCAATGTTCATCCCTTGTGCAAGTATTAGTGATACATTCTAGTTGGTCTGAGTAGTATATAGCTGTGCCACCTTGTTGATCTGGCCTACAGTTGTGTATGGCTGCATAACCAGGAATGGCATAGATGTCTGTAGTATCTGGCTTCAGCCAGGTTTTGGTGAGAGTAATGATGGACATACTGGCATGCAGGGAATTTAGTAATGCTGTGAGGTCGTCATAATGTTTGCTTAAAGATCTGGCATTGTAGTTAAAGACAGTTATGTTGTTTTTGGCTCTGAGAAGTGCCTTTGTTTGTTCTGCCGTGTAATAATTAAAGTTACTGTTTGATTCATTTAAGTCGTTCAATAAGAGGTTGGTATCAGGATCAATGCTTGTAATCATAGGATTTATAGTGGATCTATAATTAGACTTAAGTATAAGACAAAGTAAATATTCTTAAGCTAAAAAATAGCACCTGAATTATTTTAGCAGATGTAAATATATGAACTAAGCAAGTTCTTTAAAGCAAAATAAAGGAGACAGTATAAAAGGGACTAAAATAAGTAGTGGTGTAAAAAAAAGTGGTAATCAAATAAGGGAGCTAGGGAATATAATATTAAAATAATGAACGTATTACACTTTAGCACCTGAGAATAGCACCTTGATTATTTTAACAATTGCGAATATATGAACTAAGGTAGTTATATAAAGCTTCTCAGCACTGTACTTTACACTTATTTTCTTAGGACCCATACTTAGAAAAATTAAATTTGGCCAAATGACTGTCAAAAATGTAAGCAGAGCATGAGAGAACTGCTCCCTCAGCGAGGTAAACAGTGCACCGAGTTGGCAGCGTTCGTTATTCCGTATAATTATTATAGTTATTATTATTATTATTAGTGTTATTATTATTAGCACAGATCCAGTTCTGTAGACCAAGAGCCTCTCACCAGCTTCAAGGTTCCTTGACGCTGGTGAGGGGCTCTTGATCTAGGGAATTAGATGTGTGCTCCAGTTCCCTAAATTATTTTTTTTTTTATTATCACACCGGCCGATTCCCACCAAGGCAGGGTGGCCCGAAAAAGAAAAACTTTCACCATCATTCACTCCATCACTGTCTTGCCAGAAGGGTGCTTTACACTACAGTTTTTAAACTGCAACATTAACACCCCTCCTTAATTCCCTAAATTAATAATATTAATAATAATATGTTATTATTATAATAACGATAGAACTTCAGTTCCCTAATTTAATAATAATACATACGTAATAATAATTCAGAATGCTGCTGCTGGTTGGCACAGCTGATGCCGAAACCATCTGGTAAGCAGTACACATGTTTACATTGCTGTGGGAGCAGTTCTCTCATGCTTGGTTTGCATTTTTTTTAGTCATTTGGCCAAATTTCTTTTCTAACCATGGGTCCTAAGAAAATAAGTAAAAAGGACAGTACTGAGAAGAAAAAGACGATTTCCATGG